GGAAAACGACATGAGGGTAAAACGACAAGAAAAACTTATCCTACCAGCTAGAATGTTGGATGCCGCGGCTGCGGCGACGACCCACGCTAGAAACCCGGACAGGAAAAAAGCAACAAAGCCAGGCAGAGCCGCTCAGAATCATTCCCCGACGAGGCGGAGAGAAACAAAGAGTGATGGACGGCTGCCTATGGCGTTGCCATGTGGCCTCGGTCACGTGGGTTCGTGAAGTAAGGGGTAAAAGAATCTTGAGGTCATGGGGCTTCCCCTGACCTAGATTCTATCTCTCCGTCAAGGGCAGAATCGCTGATTAATGCCTACAGTTCAAAATAGTCATTTTGACTGACCGGAGTCTATGGTGGGTAATTGAACGTAGTGAATATGTAAATGTTTTCTATCCAGTGACATCAGCGGCCATTTCACAGCCTCTGACAATGGGAACAATACAGTCTTGAGTGTGTCCAGAGCAAAGTCATGGTAGATGCTTGTCTGTATCTCAGGATATTAATGTGGGAAGAGGTGGGTACTCAAAGCAACTTAATGGCATGTGAAAACCACCAAAGATATATCTAATAAACACAACTGAACATAAAATATACCAATTTCTCTCATACCACTTACCTCAGCTTTGTACATTTTGATAAGACCAGAATTCACCTTAGCCCAATGTGGTACACCACTGATACCCCATAGTGTATTTGAATGTTCACCAAAGGGACCAGTTTTCATCTACAAGAAATAAACAATGAAAAGAGAAATAAACTGAGAAACAACTGAAAAATCAAAACAAATAAACTTCCTTGGGACATTCTTTACTTTTTGAGTGTCACCATTTCTAACATATTTTTCATTCTCCCAGTCTCTCCAAAATTTGATTAAGAAAAGCTTGTACATGTACATGGCCTTCTAGTTTTCACATTGTGTTTCTGGTAGCGGAAGGGACATTAATGAAACCTTTGTTCTATATTTGGTCTTGTCAGCAGTGCTATGTCAATCAGTCACTGAGCACACATGGAAAAAGTGTTTCCTCTTACACTATGTCGAGTGAAGATTTATTCCCTATGTCTGACCTCATGACTGCAAGTATGAATTTAATACTCACCAATAAAATGAATTTTATACAGGCAAACAATATATACTGTTTATGAAAGCTCTCCGCATAGTCTGGATTTGGTAAACTTTTTGGTGTAATCCGTTTATGATCTAACAGAAGAAATGATAAGTTTACACAGGGATTTTCAGTATGTGATAACGGATCCTGCAAATTTTTGCAAATTTTACAAATCAGTAAAAATTGCAAAATTTTTTAGCAGTAAGAATTACTTTGCTGTGATATGACACTAACTGTCAATGAATTTTGTGAAATTTTGTCTTTATGTATATGCAAGTTAAAGATAAAGTCAAGAAAACAGTACTACAAGTACAAATCAACTATGAAACAATCCTGAACAACAAAATTTATATATGTTGCACTTGTAATCTTGTTGCAGTGTTCCGGAGAATCTCTCTCAACTAGCCCAAGGTACCATTTCCTGAGTTTTTTTGGCCGAGAGTTTTTGATTGATGGTTGCCAGGCAGTGAAAATACCCAGATAATACACTGAGAACTGGTCAAGTTAGAAGGAAGATATGAAAGTGGATGATACAAAGACGTAATCCATTGTAAATCAATGAACAATAACGTTGGCTTTACCTATGAGTTGAGAACTACCCCAGATATACGGTAAGAATTGGAAATCATCTAAACCCCATACACCTTGACTGCCAGCAGGTTCCATTCTATACACAGTCTGTAGTTTTCGTGTTATCTCTAAGTACCTATAAAGTAGGACAGAGTGCAGTGATAACCAAAATCTGATTAATTTGCAATGTCAGTATAGAGGTTTCAATAATTTTAATTCTGCTTACTACTGAACATTGCCTCTTATTACATCTGATCAAATGACAAATCAATAACATTCAGGCACCTCTTCTCAGATAAATTCAGTCATACAAAACACCTTATTCATTATAACTATCAATGTTTCACTCTCATTGGCTGCATAACTATCAATGTTTCACTCTCATTGGCTGCATAACTATCAATGCTTTACTCTCATTGACTGCCTAACTATCAATGTTTCACTCTCATTGGCTGCCTAACTATCAATGTTTCACTCTCATTGGCTGCCTAACTATCAATGTTTCACTCTCATTGGCTGCCTAACTATCAATGTTTCACTCTCATTGGCTGCATAACTATCAATGTTTCACTCTCATTGGCTGCCTAACTATCAATGTTTCACTCTCATTGTCTGCCTAACTATCAATGTTTCACTCTCATTGGCTGCATAACTATCAATGTTTCACTCTCATTGGCTGCCTAACTATCAATGCTTTACTCTCATTGGCTGCCTAACTATCAATGTTTCACTCTCATTGGCTGCCTAACTATCAATGTTTCACTCTCATTGGCTGCCTAACTATCAATGTTTCACTCTCATTGGCTGCCTAACTATCAATGTTTCACTCTCATTGGCTGCCTAACTATCAATGTTTCACTCTTATTGGCTGCCTAACTATCAATGTTTCACTCTCATTGGCTGCCTAACTATCAATGCTTCACTCTCATTGGCTGTCCAACTATCAATGCTTTACTCTCATTGGCTGCCTTTCCAAAAAAATTACTGTGAACGCATTAATTATTTACTGGGTTTTAATTTTGCTATTTTCGCTGATAAAACATGTTCACTGAAATAAATCAACATGTAAAATAACAATTTATTGTTTTCTTGCCAATTTTGTGAACCAAAAACCCAGTGACTATGCTCAAAACAAAGAATAGTGAAATTCAATGCCAGTGATAATAAACACACAAACCACAATAGTTATTAATAAGTCTGTTGCTTGCTATATAGTTTTTGTATTTGTACTCATTTATTATTTAATTAATCACATGCAATGAATACTGCATATTATGTTCTTAGAAACAAACACTATTATCGTAATATCAAACTTACCTTGTGAACACTTTATGAACCACAGCAACATTGTCTCTTTCATTTAGAATTCTCAGTTTATATAAACAACACAGAAATACTGCAAAGTTCATTTCATGGCCTGTAAAGCACACAATCAGTCACATCAAGATATTGCTGCATTGTGATTGGAAGATATATTTGAATTTAAATGAATACGTAGGATTAGACTCAAAACAAGGTGAATGATGCCAGGCAATAGACAGTAAGATTATAAATAAACATGCTTTATTCAAATTACCTGTGCCATAGTCTATGCGAGTATAATTGCCAAAACCGTCCAATATATACATCTTCAATTCAATTACAGCCTCTTGATAATGTGCTGGTAACAATGGTTTTATTAACGAATCCACATTCTGTTAGAAAAAAATTAAACATCTGGTTAATTCATGATATGAAAATTCATTAATTTTTGTATTTATTCTGTCCATGATATTTTATATTTACAACATGCATGTTATGTTCTCTAAGGTGTGTCTCAAGGTGTTATCAATTTTAACTCTTCCATAGTAACTGGTGTGTCTCATTTTAACCCCTCCCTGCTAACTCTCTCCAGAGGGCATCTCATTTTAATTCCTCCATCATGGCTGGTAACTCTCCCCAGAGGGCATCTCATTTTAATTCCTCCCTGCTAACTCTCTCCAGAGGGAATCTCATTTTAATGCTTCCATCATGGATGGTAACTCCCCAGGGGCATCTCATTTTAATCCCTCCCTGCTAACTCTCTCCAGAGGGCATCTCATTTTAATGCCTCCATGGCTGGTAATTCTCCCCAGGGGATGTCTAATTTTAACCCCTCTCTAGTAACTTACTTGAGGGTGTGTGTTATTTTAACCCCTCCCTGGTTCTTCTCTTTGGGGTACGTCTTATTTTAGCCTGTCCTCGGTCACTCTCCCCAGGGTATGTCTCATTTTAACTCCCCCTCGGTACCTCTCCCCAAGCTGTGTGTCATTTTAACCCCTCCCTGACCACATTTACTAGTTTACAGTTGGATCTGTAATGTAGGATCTGTACAACATACCTCACTCATCCTGTTAAACCAATCTCTGAATGCTTTATTTCCAAATCTTTGAGGTTGATCAATCGGCGGGATTTCGTCTATCCATTTATCTAACATGTTTAACATTTCAACTAATTTCTGACATGTCTGAAGAATAAAATAAATAAGTCAATAAATAAAACATCATATCATATTAAATACAACTATCTCTTAAAATAACACACATTACATGCCTGCAAATTTGATATGTGGTTTAGCATAATAAGAACATACTAGGTAATTTGCGGGTTCAGTGCATACATTTGTATGGCTAACAGAACTTTTCACTTGTTGCGTGAAATCGAATGTAAAAAAGGAAGACAAACTAAGGTCATAGCGTTGTAGTGACGTCAAATCATCGCTTGGGATTTGGCAAACATGAAAGTATTTTAGAGGTATATCCATAACTAGGAATTTGCATGGACACTAGCAAATTAGACAAAGATGAGTGCTAGCATATTTTTCACAGGCTCCAACCTTTTGTATTAGCATTCTAAAAATAAATTATGTTTTTCTTGTCTCGTGATCATATCACAATTCATATGACTACAAATGTGATCTTCATCATATATCATACTAGTTATCTCATAAACCCTTGATAACATGGACAATGATTTTACATACCTCAGATACCTCGCATTCATCTGTTAGTTTTTTGCTTTTCACGCTCTCATTCAGCGTAAGAACGAATCCTATATAATCGCTATATGCTTGAGATTTCTCCCATCGCGGAATGTCCATTTGAGTTTTTATTAGTTTCTCTGGAGTTACAAATTTGTGGGGAGTATCACTCGTCCCACTATCAATATCAGAAGTATTTTCTGTGCAGCTTTCCTCAGTTGTGATGCCAGCTTTTTGTTCCTTGATACATTGTTCATTATTCCCCAAATCCTCTTTATTCTCTGGCAATTTATTTTCAGTTGTCTTTTTCAACCCAGTATCAGGTTCAACTTTAGTTTCAACAAGTTGTTCTGCTGCACATTTTTCTGCCATCCCTGAAAAATTAATATACCAGTCTATAAAAAAAGAGAGAAAATTTTGCTGATTGGTGGCCATTGGTGACATACTTTCTGTGTATTGTTCTGTCTACAACAATTTCACAGACATGGCTGAGAAAATAAATTATACTATAATTATAAAATAATTTTTCCTAACAAGGAGCAACATTTTGCAAATTTGTATGTACTCTTTTATGATTTCTTTTTTTTTTTATTTTCCAATTGAAAAATTATGCAGGTTAATTGATTAAATATTCAAATTAAAACTTGTCTACCTCTCTGAAGGGATTGAAAATAATATACCATCATGTAGAAAATGTCAAAATTAGGGTGTAATGCTTTGGGGAAATCAGTCATGTGGATACCACTCATTTTACTTGCTCATTTATTTGTTCACCCAGCAAAATATCAAAAACTTGTGTAGTGCTCGAGTTAGCTTTGTCCATTTCTGTCCAATCAGCACATCGATGAAGGCAGTGCAAATGAAAGTTTTGATGCTAGTTCATTGGCCAGTTTGAATTTGTAAATATTTGTAAAAATGAAGAAATTTGTGTTTACTGATAGTAAAAAAATTTAATTTCATGTAAACAAACAATATGTTGTACACAAAATTATTGTAAACATCGAATGGACCCAAATGTTGTAGTGAAGACCACCACTCTTCAAGTTTACACAAGAACTGAGTATGCAAATCAACCTAATATGCAGGATTCTGTACTCAAAATCTTGTTCCCATGACAGCAGTATATTATGCAATTGATACAAAATGGTACTATCAGAAATCTCACTCCACTTAAGAACCAACTTTAGCAGTAATCCCAGCATTGCATACTTTTTTTTTATTTTCGATTTACCAAATATGAGAGTTAAAAGGTTTCCTGGCAATATGGTTGGTCCTAAAATGAACTTGTGATATCTTATTAATAACATCATGGAATAAGAAATATTGTTTACATCTATGAGGACAAGATAACAGAAATTGTCGATAATTGTCAAATTCATAACTAATATCAGAGGTACCTCTGCTAATATATAATATTCCAGGAATAAATTATGAGTAATTTTCAAGAGTTGTAGTCTAGTTTATATGTTGTGTGGATGTGTTCAACATTACATACCTATCGTTTCATCAGTGTGCGTTTCGGCCATTTTTATAGACTTTGACCGCTGATCAATCAATGTTAGACAAGGTACGATAATAATATAGTTTTTCTTATACGCATGCGTCATAACACTTGACCTCAACAAGAGCCCTACATTATTTCACTATTTTCTTCAACTCTATTATTTAAATAATTTATTACCGTAACCTACTGTACATTGATATGCCTTTATTATTCAACAACAAATAATTATTTGAATGTTGAAATCTCTGCTTATTACTATATAATTTTATTTGATCAGCATTTTATTAACTCTGTTAGGGGGCCTTTGTTGACATTGTGCCCGCGCTGAAAGTGATCGATCGATATCAAGACAACTTCTCCCAGGGAAGGGGTCAACGACTCCAGCTAGCCTTCACAATGCTCCGGCCAATGGCGAGAAAACTTGTAAGTACATGCTGTGCATTTTCCTTAATCATAGTCAAAAACTTCTGATTTTAAGAGCACACTTTCTATAACTGAAAACATGGATGTGAAAGTGAAGACAAATAAGACCGGCCGGTGTTTTCATGACTGATCTGATCACATGTTATGAAACTACTTGATGACGCAGTGGTAATACCCCGGTATGGTAATTCCGTCTCATACGCTGCGAAAGTTGGAAAATTTGTTATGTACCTGTTTGAAAATAGATGACTGCGTATAATAATTCGATACATGTTGCCATGTATTGATGACGTCATTAAGAGAGACAAGTATTTGTAGTATGTTATGAAGCGAAGTTTATACAGAAGTGACAACTATACGTCACAGACACGGATCGGCTGGAGGGGGCGTGTGAAAGTACCCATGAATACTTGCTGCAATCCCTGGGATTAAGTGGTTCCCATCTAATCCTAAACCTAAGGGTTCTGCTCAAAATAATGTTTTTTAATGAATCGCAGCATTCATGATTTATTTTTAGTTTCAAATGTATATTACTGGTTCCATATCGCATAATGAAACTGTTACTATATGATTGCCTAGTACATGTATTATGATTTTAGACATTAGTGGCATTCATGTTTTGGATTTTGGTACATGCCAACTCGGTCTTAACTTTTGAGTGTGTGAATGATTAGAACCAAGTCGGCACATATGCCAAACAAAATTTGATCTCGTCCCTATAGTCGGAATCAAAACTTGGCACATGCTAAGATTGACTTCCTGAACGCTTGGCATGAACTGTAGTCCAGTCCTTGATGGTGAACTTGATGAGAAAGATATGATCGGAAGCTTCAGAACATTTATAAGTTTTATTAGTATACAGTGTATAGAAAAAAAATACATTTAGTTTCATGTTGACAGCTCAACAAGGGAAAAAAAAAAGACATATAAGGGGTTGATTTGAGCACAAGTCAAATATGGCTTCTAAGTAACATGAATATAACTGCTGTAATCCGTCTGCAAACATGAAGAATTAAGAATATCCAGTACATGCCAAGATCCCATAATCTGAATATACCTATAGTTATAGTGTTAAGAAAGTCATTTTGGATTAGACATTGTCTTTAGAATGTAGTTTGTTTTGTATTTCTTTCTTCTCCTCCATTTAATTATTTAATTTACATGTCCCCTTCCAAAATATTATCATTTCAACATAAAACTATAAGAAAAAGAAATTCAAGCTCAAAATCTAATCTTTCAATTTTTGCAGCAGACATTTGGTCAGCACATTTTATCATGTAGATCTTGCAATCAACAGAAAATCAAAAGTTGACTTGTTTGTCATCTATGTTTGTCAAGTATTGTTTGTGTTTACATATTGCTTTGGCAGACTGGCTGTGCAAGAGAATTAATAATAATATTTTTAAATTTAACAATTTTATGTTATTCTATTTTTTTATTGTATTTTAAAACATAACTAGCAATTTATATAATTCATGAAAAGATTATAATTATGTTAGTATTACTGTAAACATATTCATTTTCACTGGGTTTTCATTTTGCTATTTTTGCTGATAGGGAAAATCCGCTGAATTAAATTTATTTGAATATGTAGAATTGCAGTAGGACTCAGTGTTAAAAACTCATTGTATGGTTGAAATTGAAAATTAAAGTTGCCTGTCCATTGAACTGGCTGGCTGAATTGCCTCATCATTTCATAAGTCTTTGAAAAATCTCAAGACTATTTTCCTGACATTAGGAAACTTTGGACAACCCAATTTGAATAGCTAGTAAAAACATGATGTCCAGAGGGACAGATAGTCTGTATATTCACCTGTCCTAGCTGAAATATGATTGTCTGGGACAGGTGGACAGGCCCTAATTTCAACCCCTGCATTGAATATGCTGAATTTATCTAAATAGTTAAATACCAGTGAAAATAAACGTCTCTACAGTACTGGTACTTCAGTATGCAGTATTGTAATTACTAGTACTTTTCTTTTATATTCATGTATTTTGCTTAAATCTTTGTGTTACTGTAAAACCATTTATTTTCACTGGTATTTAATTTTACTATTTTGATGCTTTGAGCAATATTCACTGGGTTTTTTTAGTTCACAAACTTGGCAAGGAAACAATGAATTCTTTTGTTATTTTACATGTCTCTTGGATTTAATTTAGCAAATTTTACTTATCGGCAAAAATAGCAAAATTAAAAACCAGCGAATATGTAATGCTTTTACAATACCTTTTGTAGCTCAAGGTTCAGGGTTCAAAGTTCAAGTTGTCAGGAATTGATAATAACAGTGATTAGTTCGTCTACATTGGCTTATCGTGTCTGTTCAGAGTTCAGGTATAGCTTCTTGCTATTGGTACGGAGAGGGGATACTTGAAATATGCATGTGGAGAATTGGTCTCTGTATTCTGTATCTAAATATATAATCCTAATAACTACCCTTTATATAGCGTTTTTCTAGAAAGATCTTGGTAGCAATGAGCTTATTGTTCTACCATACAAAAATGAAAGGTTTCTCCATTTGCCACCCCCTTACTGAAATGGTATCTTCTCAATTTTGTTAGCACTAGTTGATCAAAGGTTGTAGAGTTTTGTACAATTTGGTGTAAAGCTGTGTACTAGGTGTGCGTTAGTTTACATGGGGTGCTGCTTTGTCCACTCTCATTAACCAGACTGTCAGAGTGATCGTTGTAAGTTAATGATATTTTAAATTAATTTACTGTATCAACACATTGTTATTGTATTTAAGTTACTCAGTATGTCCTCTCTCTCACATGATTTCACAGCATTATACATGTAGTACCGGTGCTCTTCATCTACAAATATTGCATTACTAGCACAGGACACAAAATTTAATGATGCCATGAAGGTATCAATCAGTCAAAGGCATTTTTAAAATGCTTGACCTTGTGTTTTCCACCTGGGGTGTATTGTGCCATATGCATGAACACTACCGGGACTAGTAAAGGTAATACATCCCGGTATTTTCGGGGTACAAATTAATTCAAATGAAGGTGAATAACATTTTTTCCAGAATTATGAAGACAGTAGTCATTGAGTACAAAAAAAGTTTATTAATACAATGTACTTGTCGAAAATTATTGCTGAGTGAAAACAATAATCCAGAGCATTAAATTATTATGTCATTGTAAAACCTATTGTCTTATCAGAGCTAAGCAATTTTTGTTTTGTTTCAAGTACATTTATTGTTGTCATATACTTTTGCAATTAAAAGGAATGTAGTCTGAATATGCGAAATATTATAATATGTATGTTATTATTACTCATTCATAAATCAGTGTTCTTTCTAAGCCTTGTTGTCATCATATGAGTAACTTTTTCCTTAATGACACAAACTCTAATGTTAACAAATAATAAAAATATTTAAATCTTTGAATGCCATGTTTATTCTTGGCCAAATCTTATATATCATTTTACATTTTGTGTAATAGTACAATGTATTATGGAAGACGATGAACTTGACAAATTTGCCCTCACAGGTTTACCTTGATTTTCTCACACAATATGTTAAAAGTTGCTCTGTACCAAATTGGCTTAGAGGGAATACTCATAATGAAACTAATCAACAGTAACTTTATTTGGTATATGTAACATCATAAACATCAACTCAGATATTAGTTTTTTCTGCCTCCATTTCAGGCGCCGAGCTCTCCCTGATGGGAGTATAACACACACGTGTCAATCTATCTCCTCTGTAAACAGTCAGCACCACCACCATTACCAGTATGGGTGGGTGTATCACTACATCCAGACTAAGATTAATTGAAGTAATCTATCTTGTCATTTCAGTTTTCCCTTGTGTGGTGCTTTGATTCTTTCCTTTCTCATTTCATATCGAAGATAATACTAACCCTCTTGTTTCTCCATTAGATTACTTGTTTTTAATGCATGCTGCTTTTTTGTGCTTATCTAACACCATGTGTTTTATTCTTTCCTGTTTTGGAGAACAGGTTTTGCTGTGTTGTGAAGTGAAATTATGCGTTAAAGCGTTTACTGTTTGCATATTTATTTTAATTTAGATGTCATTCTGATTTTGACATCAGGCGACCGTGAATGGCCATCATTTAGTAACTTGAATAGGAAAGATTGGAATTTTCTAAAAAAGACGTCGAATCAAGTTTAATTTCTGAGGTTTTATAGATTTATGAAAGTAAATAAAAATTCTTTAAAACATTAATTTCTGAGTTGTTCAAAGTTCCTGTATATATAGGGCCATGTAGTTCATATCCACTTTAAGAAGTTTTATACCAATTTGAAAATTGCGTCTTCTTCATGCTTTCTATATTAGTAGTTAATGCTTTCAGGATAGCCAAATTATAAGTGTTAACCAGACAATGTTATGAAAATGACAACGTTTATTATTTTTTCATATCTCTAAATTTTGGTTTGTGTGCAAAAAAATCATTATTGATACAAGTCCTAAAATTAATTTAGTGAGTTTCCAGTGTGGTAAGTCTCAACAAATTAAACAGGTACATTTTTTCTTTGCATAATACTGAAAATATGTATTTACCATGATACTAACACTACTGTAAACAATTTATTTTTTGCGACAATCAGTTTTCATAGTTTAGACCATTAGAACATCTATAGAATGCTTGTTGTGTGTGTGTGTGTCCCTTACTAACCATATAATGTAAAATAATGCAACAAACTTGTGTCTATATATACCAGTAGCTATTGTGGTATGCTACAGTTCAATATGCCTTGTGCGTCATTGTGGACCCCCTAACTTCATAACTATTATCACTTTTGAGGGTTATTTTAAGATCATAACAAATTTCTTTATATATTTACTTATTTATTTATTTATCATTTATTGGAATGAATGAAAATGAATAGAAATTATGCACAAATAAAAAAAAAATGAAAGGATTTTTGACTGCATGTTGCTGTTTTGTTGTTGCCTACTGTTTCATACCCAGTATACCTCAACAATGCTGTAATCACAGACACACAATGAGCAATCTTTATTCCAGGGTATCCTTCATAACTTGTGCATCACATGGTTTAACCTCTGACCCTATAATTTAAAAGTGAAATAGAGCCTAGTTGCATGTGATTGCCTTCACCTCTGTAGTGCTACGTTAAGCAGATTCCATGACTTATTGAGTTGTGTACATTGTTCTGAATTCTGTTACCTGATCTGACAGGTATTGTTTATTGTTTTTGAGTTCTTTCCTTATATGGTAGTTTGAAAATATGTCCTGCAACATACAGATGAATTGTCTCATGAATTTTCACAATTGTTAGTTGCTAAAGTTTTGCTTAATCTATAATTGTTCATGTCAAAATTTTGGGGAAACATTTTGCACAGTTTCCTTTATGTTTATGTGTTTTATTTCTGAATTTTTAACAATATGGATAGAATTTCTCAGTCACTACATGTATTGATCAAAATTCAGAAACAATTATGCAGGTTTTAATTTGTGTAATTTGACTGGCATTTAAGGCTCAATAATAATCTTAGAACACTAAAAAATACTCAAAACTTCAACTGTCTTTAATTTTCACTTTTAAAGTGTATCAAGAACATTTTTCATTCTACATTTACATTACAACCAAAACAATTATGTAACTTTGAGACAATTGTCACATTTAGACTGCGTACTATAAAGATACAAGCATTTTTCACACACTTCAAAATGAAGATTACAAGTAATCAATATCTGGTAAAAAAAATGATAAACACATGTTTTATACTGTATACTGTAAAATACTTTATTTTTGCTTAAAATTATTTTTTGCTAAAGTAATGATTCAGTGAAAATAAAATCCAGTGAATATACTTTTTTTTCCTATTTTTTACATTCATCTCATCAAAAATCAGTGAAAACTTCATACAAAACGCCCAAAAAGCCAAAATTAATTCTAGCGAAAATAAATTATTTTATAGTATTTGCATATAAACATTAGTATGTACATTATGAATGGAAATAATTACAGTCACATTAAACAATTTAATAAACGTCAAAAAAACACAAACTTTGCTTCGATTACTAAAAGAGCTAATAAAATTTCATTAAATTTCATCGTGCTACCAGCAAAATTTGTATACAAGTAAAATTGCTTGCGTAAAAAAATAATCTGGACTTTTTTTATAACACATACAAGTAGGGTCAGGATGTACATGTATAGGGCAAAGTGGATGTCTGGTATTATCGATTTAATTTTCATAAATACTATTGTACATACACACCTGGACCAATTAAGTTTATAGAAACATAAAGCATGCATATATGCATTCATTTGTTTCATGATTCAGTTCAACATGGCCGACTAGTAGGTTGTTTTGGTTTGAAAAATGGATTTTTATTTTGCATTGTCAGATTTTCATAAAGCTTGGTATATGCATAGAAACAATACAATACCCTGATGCATGTTGCTTTGTTTTTTCTACATTTGATTCAAAATGGCTAACTGATGGCCATTTAATTTTCACAAAATGCTGTACAATTAGATATGTCACTCTAATGCAAAATCAGAAATTTTAAAATTACATAAACAAGTGCAAACTGCTGCACCAAAAATTTAGCAGAAAAAATTATGATATTTATTAAAGTGTTAATTAGTTTCCCTTGTTTACTATCAAATTTTAGTAGAAATTTTCAATGTTGTAAATATGCCCAAAACATTGACACATTATACAGTACATCTGTTATAAACTACTACTGTACCATTGGTACCATTCTGAAATATGTCAACCAACATACCCAGGTACAATCCAGCATGCATGCATAGCCAGATAATACTTCACCCTTCAATTAACTCTTTTCCCGACTTGCTTGCATCATTATGTTATATGGCTTCTCTTCTTATAACAAAAATTCACAGTCGGCACTAGTCCATTAACTCTGACTTTTTTGATATAATTGCTTTTACAGATATAGCTGCAGCATGGCAAGTATTGTGTTCTAACAATAACATCTTTCTTTGTGGCTGACCCTACGTTGTACTTAACACTAAATCTATTAATTTATTACAGATGAATCAGAGTATGAGACGCGTTAAAAAGATGACGGCTCCAATGCAAATTTCCGCAAAGGCCCCAATCATGCGATCATATTCATCGCATCAAAGTTCTCTACCGAAACTTCCAGTTCCACAATTTCAAAAAACTCTACAAAAATATTTACTAGCTGTACAACCACTTTTAACTGAAGAGGAATTTCAACACACTAAACAGGTAGAGTCATCATATTGTACTACATGTGTACATGCATAAATAACATCATTCTATAAATAAGAACGTACCATAAATAATATTGTACTATATCAATTTTTCGTGACCCATATCAGATTTATTTAACTTGTGTTGTGATTTTCATATGATACTAGGTTGAACATTTACTTTTTCCATATTACTCCAAAAATTACTACATTTTTGATATCCAATTTATCTCCTGTACACATTACTGTTTCGCCAGAAAAACAATCATTATTTGTGTGCGCATGCCTTAAGCTTCTTGATGCGTCCTATCATTTGCATACTGAGACACTAGTTTCACGTTACACGAAGTACGGGCTAAGATTTAAGCTGATTTAGGCTTATCTAGCATATTTGCATTTCGGCAAGACCCAATTGCGTCCACGCACAGGAAGGGCCAGTCGTTAGCATGGGCTAAGGGCCGCTATCAGTCGGTGACCTTTGGCTAGCCACTATTTACGAACGAAAAATGGATGACACGCACGATGTACTATTTCTGCTGCTGACATGTTTCGTTCTAATTTTGAAGTGACGTGCACAGGAACGCGAGAAAAGACGGACCCAACTTATTCGGATGCACAGAAACAGTATACAATGGCGTAACAGAATACATAGTTTTATTAATGCATGTCGTAGACAGCGAACCAAATTTATTTTGTCCACGATTGGAGCTGCTGTACACTCTACTACAGCGACCCGATCAGTGTGGAAGCGAGCGCAGAGTAATGACTGGTGGAATAGAGTCGTTATACGAACATGGGACAATGCAAAGGAGAGGGCGCTTAGTCCTGGGCTGAGCGTTCGCGCACACTTCGTTAGCCCGTGCTAAGGGTCTAGACCGCGTCTTAAATTCGGATCAGATTTAACCTGTACTTAGCATTCCTTAGCCCGTGCTAAGCGTTCACGCACGTTTTCTTAGCATGGGTTAAGGAATTTGACCTCTTAGCCCGTGCTAAGGAGCTGTTAGTGAACGCAACTACTGTCACTTGCTCATACTTTGCAAACAGTTTATCATTTGCAATTAAACAAATAATTTACTTTCGGACTCATCAATGAATTTACGATTTATAGAGACATACAAACATGTATTGACAACATTTTTACCAAATTACAACACAGTAAATCGGCAAGCAGTAGTAGTGGTTCATGGGGAAACGAATCCAAGGTTGGGCTTGGGAAATGCAGAACTGCAAATTCCTCAAATGCAACTTCTAAGGGCAATGGTTGTCGTGATTGGTCAGTATTCTGTAATACAGCTCATCTGATTGGTTATTACCTTGTTATAAAAATAACTTATTTCTCTTTCAGATTGTCGAAGAGTTTGGTAAACCAGGTGGACAGGGTGAAGAACTCCAAATGAAACTTGTACAGAGATCTCAAAAATATGAAAATTGGGTATGAATGTTTAATTTTATCTTCCTCAAATATCTTCACAACATTTTTCACAGCCTGCAATTCCATCTGAAGTCTGCCCATCAAATTACAGCTTCCATATTTGCTCACTATTAAAAGTGCATTTTTGAACTCCAAAGTAAACTTTTGTCACCTTTCAACAACATGTATAGTTTGTTTTCATATTATATACCCATTCTACCAAATGTGTATACTCATTCTACTAAATGTTTATACCCATTCTATTAAATGTTTATACCCATTCTACCAAATGTTGAGGCCCATTGTACTAAATTTTTATACCCATTCTAGCAAATGTTGAGGCCCATTCTACTAAATGTTTATACCCATTCTACCAAATGTTGAGGCCTGTTCTACTAAATGTTTATACCCATTCTACCAAATGCTGAGGCCCATTCTACTAAATGTTTATACCCATTCTACTAAATGTTTATACCCATTCTACCAAATGTTTATACCCATTCTACCAAATGTTTATACCGATTCTACTAAATGTTTATACCCATTCTACCAAATGTTTATACCCATTCTGTTAAATGTTTATACCCATTCTACCAAATGTTTATACCCATTCTGTTAAATGTTTATACCCATTCTACCAAATGTTGAGGCCCATTCTACTAAATGTTTATACCCATTCTACCAAATGTTGAGGCCCATTCTACTAAATGTTTATACCTATTCTACCAAATGTTGAGACCCATTCTACTAAATGTTTCTACCCATTCTACCAAATGTTGAGGCCCATTTTACTGGATTTTTATACCCATTCTACCAAATTTTGAGGCCCATTTCACTAAATTTTTAGGCCAATTCTACCATATGTTTATACCCATTCTACCAAATGTTGAGGCATGTTCTACTAAATGTTTATACTCATTCTACCAAATGTTGAGGCATGTTCTACTAAATGTTTATACTCATTCTACCAAATGTTGAGGCCCACTCTACCAAATGTTGAGGCCCATTCTACTAAATGTTTCTACCCATTCTACCAAATGTCGAGATCCATTCTACTAAATGTTGAGGCCCATTCTACTAAATGTTTATACCATTCTACCAAATGTTGAGGCCCATTCTACTAAATGTTGAAGCCCATTCTACTAAATATTTCTACCCATTCTACCAAATGTTGAGGCCCATTTTACTGAATTTTTATACCTATTCTACCAAATGTTGAGGCCCATTTTACTAAATTTTTAGGCCCATTCTACCAAATGTTTATACCCATTCTACCAAATGTTGAGGCCTATCTTACTAAATGTTTATACTCATTCTACCAAATGTTGAGGCCCATTCTACCAAATGTTGAGGCCCATTCTACCAAATGTTGCGGCCCATTTATAAATGTTGAGGTCCATT